TTTGGTGTGTGGTGTTGGTCACATCCCTCCCATGGTGAGGCTGCTCCTGCTCTCCCTGCTCCCCTAAAATGTGGCATGTAGGTTATTTATCAGCTCTTCCCCCCTGGCAGGGTGTGCACGTGACGAGCTTTGGAGATGCTGTGTGATCCTGTGTGATCCTGCCTGTGCTCGGAGGGCAGCGGGAATTTCCACTTGGTGCTCTCCTGTTGCAAACACTGGGGTTTTGGCTGTTAAATATTTACAGTGGTGGTGACACCCTGTCCCCAGGTGCCACTTCACTGGAGCAGATGTTTGTGCTGCTTGGTTTCAGGCCAGCATTAGCTTTTGATGGCTCTTTGCTCCTCCACCAAGCAAAACTCTCCGTCTTTGCTGTCAGCTGGTGGGAAACCATCAGTTTCCTTCCACTGGCGAATTTAAATCCTGTTTTGTGTCACTAATGCCCCCATGGAATATGGCAGTGGACGTTGCTGAGGTGTGCACTGGTCACAGGTGTCTGAGGCTTGGGCAAAGCCAGTGTTTCCAGAGTGTAGAAAACCCAAGTGGAAGCAGAATCAAACCCTGAGTGCTGTAAAAACCTCTGCTGTTGGATGGAGGTGCTGCAGTTGGGAGTAAAGCTGTTGAAATGCAGAAGCTGCCACGTGTAGGAAACAAAACCAGGCATGACATGGAAAGAAACAAAACAAAGAATTTATGGATACTGTGTCTCGAGGAGGTGGGAAAGGATTTTGCTGGAGAACTGAGGTTAAGTTGTTCTCAAATGGTTTTTGTTTGCAGTGAATGCTGAAAGTGAACCAGGAGCTTCCTCCCAGTGTGTGAGGAGAAGCTGAACTGTAAAATGTGCTTTTCTTGGTAATAACAGCAAGAATTAACTGTGCAGCTCATCTTGATGGATGGAAACATGAATGGATCGAGTGCTCCAAACTGTCATTCAGCAAATTGGGCTACTTGGAAATTCTGATTTAAGCTAATGTCCTAATAATATTTAATTTATAATTCATTTATCATTTAAGTGCATCCAGATTCCTCCTTCCAATTCATGCTTTCTTATTTTGACAGCAAAAAAGAATTCTAACTCATATCAGTGACCAAGCTTCCAGTTGAATTAAGTTCTATTAAATTAAGGAGTTTTATTTGAATTAATAATGCTTCTTTGGAGAAGTCCAGACTTTTGCAGGGCCGTATCTCCTGCTTGCATTGGTGTGCTGGAGCATGGCAACATAGATAAGGACAGTAAATGTAAATACCTCCAGTGAAAAGCTGTGGTGGAGTGGGATCTGTTTGAAGCACATTTGGGACCTGGCTCCTTTGTTAGCCTAAAAAAATGCATATAAAGCCCCTGCTGAAGGACTGAGTGTGTTTCTCTCTGGACGGAGCTTTATTCGGAGTGTTTTGTTAGGGAATCTTTTGAAGTGCCCGGAGATTTTCAACAAAATGGCTGCTTTCCTCGGGTTTGTTCCTATCTGGATATCAACAGGCTCGCTGCCCTCGGCTCCAGGCAAAGCGCCTCGGCTCCGACATGTAAAATTTAATAGGTGCTGTTGTAAGGGAGATGTGCTGGTTCAGCTTTCATCAGACCCACGGTCATGTTGGCTGTTCCTTCGCCCGCCGTCCGTTTCTGGCTGCTTTCCTTAGGAAAATTCCTCTTTGTAAACAGAAAATAGCCTTAGTAGGAGCACACACTCCGAGCCCCGGGAGTAATCCCGTCTGAGCAGCAGCGTAGCCTGTTCATAACTAATCTTGGTGGTGTTAGTCGTAGGCAGTAATCCCCTGTGCCAGAGGAGAAGCCCAGCAGCTGCAGAGCAGAGGCTGCACCATCCCAGTGCTGTGGAACACAGTGTTGTTTAAATATTCCATTAATTTTCGCAGCGGGAGCGTCTGAAGCGATGGCTGGGGGCTCGTGCAGCAGCGCAGTGTTGATGAAGGGCTGGAGCAGAACTGGTGTTGAAACATCACAGTATTTTGGTGTCCTGTATGCCCAAGGTCCAGGACACACCTCTGGCTGGGGTGGGTGCTGTGGCTGACTCCTCCAACCCTGCTCTCAAATAATGGTGAGGAGAGCGTGCACACGTGGGTGATTCCTGCAGAGCGGCTGTTCCTGGTACCCCGATGGTCTGTCTGCCCTTAAATTGCAACAGTCCTTCGTGCCAGAGGTTTTGGCATTTGTTTTTAGCTGTAATTTGTCTCCCAGCTGCCTCCCTCCCCATCTCCCGTGTTCCCTGTGTGCTGCCAGTTGAGGTTGTAACTCTGCAGGGATGAGCAAGGGCACGACTGTGTTAATCCTGGCCTCCTGTATCCATTAAACAAGCAGTTTAGTTTTAAATACCACATCTTGGATGTGGCAGGCAGCAAAAGCAGGCAGCCCAGCTATTTCTGGTAGGAGCTTGTCATGCTGCTGGTGTCTCCTTTTCTTTTTTAAATGAACATGTTGAACCTGTAGCTGGAGGAAGCTGGAGCCCAGCAAGGCAGGAGAAGGTGATAATGCAGTATAATCCTAAATAACATGCTTTGTACGCTGACATTGCACTACTGGGATACCTGGGGGGATCTGACCTAGGGAATCTTGTTTTGGAAAGCTGTGGTGCCAATGTGTTGGGAAATTGGAGAAGCCACAAATGAAACCCTCTTGTTCTTCATGGCCACGTGTCCTTTGGTGAGTGGCATTTGCTGGATCTGCCTTGTTGTGCTTAATAATCACTGCAGACCACTCGAGTTCCTTATTAATGTGCCATAACTTATCCTGCAGTGCAGGGGGAACCTTCTGTCTTTTTAAAAAGTCAGCCAGAGACCACTACCTCAGCTGCCTCTCAGCCTATTAAGTGATTAATAGGTGTTCCCAGAAGCCTTAATAAGTGGCCAAGTGGGCTGCTGTGGCAGAAGGTAGGGCAAGACTTCAGGCTGATTTTAATTAAAGCTCTCTTAATGCTGTTGCTTGAGAAATTAAGGAAGTAGTGTTTCTGTGTACATCTGGCAGATCTCTGGGCTGAGTGAAGGCTCCTTGAGTTGAAGAGCTGTGTGCTTTGCTGTCTGAAACTCGTAATTTAGAGTTATAGGTGCTGGTATCATAACCAAGATAATCTAGAGATAAGATTGGTTTATTTACTGAGGTGTATTTTCATCTTTGATTAAATTGCTCTAGGAATTGTGTCTAAGTGAGCTTTTAAGAGCTCCTTTTGGTACTGCTACACAATACAGAGTTACAGGAAAAGGTGTTGTGGAGACCCCAAATGCAAAGTAACCTGGAAAGATCAAAAACTAAACCCTGAAAGAGGCTGCTGCAGGAGCCTTTTGGTGAAAGAGATCTTTAAATTCCCATACAGCTTCTTGTTGGCAGGACTGTTGCCTTGGAACAGTTTAACTGCTTAGTTGAACAGTTGAACAGTCTCTGGATCAGGGATGGATGCTGTTGGAAAACTGGTGGCATGTGATTGTCAAACAGGCACCTCATGAATCACAGTGAAGGGCTTGGATCCACATCACCTGGGAGACTGGTTCAGATATGGACTGGGACCACATTTCCACCACACTGTGTTTTGGCAATCCCCATTTCTGGTATTTTCTGCCCCTATGCTGTGTAGATTTGCCATCCCAGCTGGTCTAACCTTTCCAAAGCTGCTTTTGTTCACATGGGCTTTTTAAGCTGGAAAAATTCTTAATTTGGCCTTAAACAATCTGTGCTGGCATTAATAAGAGTCAGAACACGCTGCAGAAGGAGAGGAGTGTCACTTTTTATAGTATGAACCACAAGACTATTCTTTGTGCTTACGTTTTCACCCGAGGGCTTTATTTCAGAGAAGATTTTGTTGGTGTTGGTGGTGAGAGATGCTGCCCTGCTTTCCCCTCGTGCTAATGCAGCTGCTTGTGTGGTCAGGCAATCAAGCAGATTGGGGAACTGATTCCATGAAAAACCAACTTAAAGGTAAAGAGAAAATCAGTTTCTGAGCCAGTATTTGGGGCATTGCAGCATAAAAATGGTTGTACTGGGATGGACTGGTGAGCACAGGGCGTGCAGGGATGGGGTGGGATCACTGCCGTGGGGGACAGCATTGGCTTTTGGCAGCTCCACGTTGTGGCTGTAGCTGGAGGGCTCAGGAAATCACATTGCTGGTTTCTGTCCTACTTTTCAACAGCTTCAGAGCATCCATTGAACATTGGCCCTCGGGCAAACTTCCATTTTGGTGTCAGATGGCAAAGTACACACAGCAGCTCTCAGGGGCTGCTCTTGTCTCCCTTGCATGGAAATGGTCCTAAAACTGAGCCCAGAGTGTGGATTTAGGGAGCTAAACCACGGTTCTGGGGTGTAACACAAGCTGTGTGGTTCGTTGTGTTTCCCAGCTCATATAACCAAACCCTTGGCTGGTGGTACAGGTATAGTTGGAAGAAAAACTTGTACACAAGTGAAAATCAGCTTTTATTTTCCATCCTATTTCTGACCTTTCTAGGCTGTATTTCTTTCCTTAGCTATATGACTCTGTGAGTATTTTCTGGATCTTGTGCTTTGCGAACATTTAGGACATTCCAAGGACTTTGTCATCTTACACTGGCAGCCACTTGTGTTCTGGGAGAGTTTTCAGCCCAAGTGTTTTGGTGGTCAGGGCTGGGACAAACAAGGAATATTCTTGCTCTGCAGGTAGTATGGAGGATGTGGTAAAAATGGGTAGGATGGATGGAAATCAGCTTGTCCTGCATTTTACAGACATCCTGGGGTTCCATTGTGTGGGCACACTGGGTGTGGAGATGGTGGCACTTAATCACCTCATGTGGTAGCAGTAACTGACCTGTTCCTTAAGTTTTCAGCCCAATTTTCATTTTATATAGACACTTGGATTTACAGAAGGGTGTTCTTTTTTTATTTTTCTATCTGTCAAGTCCAGCTTATGATAGTAACCATGTACTGTGTGCACAGATATTGCTGTCAGACCCACTGATTTTCCCTTTGCCTATTCAAAACTCTGCTTGGTGTTCTCATACCAGTTTGGTTACTCAATTAATGATTGGTTCTCTTTTCTTTCTCCAGAATCCAGCGACTATTACTCGAATACTGCTTAGCCATTTCAACTGGGATAAGGAGAAGCTGATGGAGAGGTAAGCAGCCACCTTGTGCTTCAGACCTGCAAGAAATGTTTGTTCCTGGGTTAATGTGAGGCTGGAGGGATGCACGGTGTGTGTGGCAGGAGAATCTCTTGTGTAAACTCTAAATATTCCCCCTTTCTAAATGTTCCTCCTTGTCTAAATATTATTAATCCCTATTAGAGTTAGAAGTCGTGGAAGTTGCCCATTGGAAAGAGGGATTTCCAGTTTGAGCACATACAGGCACAGCATTTGGACAGGCTCTGGAAAAAAGCAAGCAGGAACAGGTTCCTGTTATCTTGCAAGTGTTTTGGGTTTGGGTTTCGCTGCTCTTGCCTGTCATGCTGGCATGTGTATTCCTGACATGTTTATTTACTAGTCTGGCCAAGACGAAATTGCTTCTGACTGATAATGTTCCTGCCCTGTCTTCATCTCTGCAGCTCTCAGGTTTTCTTCAGTGTGTGTGTAACTAATGGCTTGAATTTTGCCTCTCTCTCCCCCTCAGAGCAGAGTGTTTTATGCTTATTTCTCATCTTTGATTCCCATTTGGGGAATGTTGCTGGTAAAAGTACTTTTTATAGTTTGTTGTTGCACAGTGGAGGCCAAATCCAGCTGCACTGGGGTTTTTTCAATGCCAATATTGGTGTTGAAGAGAGTTAAGGGAGCTGGAGAAATCAGTTTACTTCAGAAGCTGGGGGGAGAATTAATGTGGACCAGAAGGAGCAGTAAAGACTGTAAAGGGTCTTACTGGTTGCTATGGTCTATGCTCATCTTAACAAGTGTTAAGTGGCCAGTGAGTGGGTAGTGAGGGCAGAAGGACTCAGGGCTTGGTTGGAGTGTTTGTTTGACTTTCTCTTAATTACCATTTCCTTTGCCTGGTGATCAGGGAATGGGAAGATGGCAGCTCTGTGGTTGTAAACCAGGAGCAATTGGTGGTGGGATGACTGATAAATGTCACTTATCTCAGGCCCTGTAGTTTGGTGCTCTGTCACCCAGGGAAGGAGGAGCAACAGGTTTTCAGACTGTTAGTAATTATTTTGGAGTATAAATATTTCTGCTATCCTGGGCTAATGTATTTAGGACACCTTTAGCCCCCTTTGTAGAACATTTTCAGTGATGGTGCTCAGGTATCTCTTCTGTTTTGTTTAACCCAGATTTTTTCTTTTTCTGAAGTGATTATGATTTTTTACAGCTTTCTAGTCCTTGCTTTATTTTACTGAGATTGACCTCTTTGAGTTGATGTTGGAAGTCTGAAACCTTTGTGTTTTACAAATATAGCCACTATTTAACTCTGGCTGCAGCTGTTAAACATTCTGATTTAGTTCCTGCTCTGCAATGTGTGTCCACTTCTTTGTTTGAGTTTCTTGGGCTGGTTCTCTTGGTCAGGCTAAAGTTCACCCTCCTTGGCTGCCTCCATCTCCCTGTGAGATGCCTCTCCACGAGTGTAACTGAAAGGTCATCCCTTTATTCAGTAGGTTTTGTCCCTTCTCATTGAAAGCTTGTTTAAGGCTGCCATCAATTTAAAAAATAAAAATTAGGCTGTGTTTTTTTTTCAAAGGGAGGTGTCAGCCGGTTCCTTGTCAGCTGCTTTTGTTAAAGCTTTTACAGTTTTCAATAAAACACTTTAAGTACCCATTAATAGTTACAAATCCCCAGGTAAACATACTCATTAAAATACTTACCTTAATTCTATAGGATTACCCCTGTGAATAATGTAATGCATGACCCTTGCTTATGCAGAGGTGTTGCACACTGGTCACAGTTTTGGTGCTCATTGCTGTCCTGTTGTGTTAGAAAAACACTAAAAGGTGATCTCTGGAGTACCTGGTGTTGCCTTCTGTCACTTCTTCACCAAATAACTTCCATGCAATCCTTTGGAGTGCTCAGCTGTGTTAAAGCTCATAGTGCTCAGGAGGGTTTTGTGATTGCTGTGGTGATAGGTGAAGTTTAAGGTGGTGGAGGGGAACCCCCAAAACATGCATTTTACTCGAAAGTCCCTGTTGTTGAGTGGTGTGTGTTTACAGTACCATGTCAGTGCCTGTTTTACCTTAGCTCATGGTGAGTCAGCACAGCCTCACAGCAGCCTTATCAAACCTGGCCTGGAGTAAAGCACACAAACAAAGTGGCTTCTTTTTGGATAAGTGGTGAGCTCTGAGCTCGTGACATGAAAATTTCCATGTTTTAAACCACTTTTTTTTTTTTTTTAGCCTGGTTACGTGTATTTTTAATGAGCAGGTTGTTACTGTCTGGGCCAGCTTTGTCATGGAATAATTGCACGGTGGTGGTGAGAGGGCAGATGTGTTACAGGTCCACTTACCATGGAGTAACAGCCACAATTAAAAACTGCCCTGTCCCACTGGTGAAACACTAATTATTTGTGTTGGAAAGCAAGAGTGGGGGGTTGGGGTAGACTTGTTTGTAGGATGGAAGTGGGTAGTGGAAGAAGTACTCAAGTTCAGCCTCTGATATGCTGCATGTTTTTTGGAGAAGAAAGATGTCAAATATTTTGACAGTTTGCCTCATAGGCTTGATTCCCATAGACAGGAGAGCAGCAGGTGCAGAATGATCAGGGACCCTCAGGTGGAGCCTGAAGGAGGTGCTTCAGCTTTGAACTTCATCTTGATTACCTTCCAATTTTACTGTGGCCTATGGTGTCCATCCCTCCTGAGGGGAGTTTTGGGGATGAACCTCCTCGTAATGAAGAGACTAAAATGCAGCTTTCCTGCTTTATGTGCCTTCCCTGGTCATTTTGTTGAAAGCCAAGTGTCTCAGCATGTACCCAAGGCCTGATTTCATCCCTGGAGGCACAGGCAGAGCAGCAGCTCCTCACAGGTGCTTATCTTGGTGGGCAACATCCCTGTTCCCTCTGAGCAGAGGAGGGGTGCCAGGATGGCCCAGACTGACTCTTCTCCAGGTATCTGGTGCTTTCCTTGGGGCAGAAAAGTCCTTTACACTATTCAACAGAGGCTGAACAGGTGAAAAATGGTGTATGGCAGGAGTTTAGATGTGGAGATATCTTTTACTGTGAGTGTTCTGATGCTCTGACACTCACAAATGCTCTTTCACGGAAGTAAATATCCCAAAGTGTGTACTAGAAGCATTTTTTTTGCAGTGAAAAGGCTTTTTATCTTTGATATTCCCGTGGATAGGATTTGATTATGTCTAGAAAACAGCGATTAGGCAGTTACAGACAGCAGGAGGAAATTCTGAGAAGATAAAGGAGCTGACAGCTTGATCCCTCTGCCAAAAAGACTTGAGACTGTTATGGATTTGGTCTTGGTAAGCAGAAGGACTTGAAAATAATTCACTGGTTTGTCCATGAATTTTAAAATAGCAGAAACCCCAACTTAGTGATGAAGAGAATGCATTTTGAAGAATTAACATAACAAATCCTCATATATCAGAAGAGCTGGATTTACTCAGTATCTGCATTGTGAAGGGAGAGCAGGGCAGAGGATTTAAAAGGCTGTTAAAGGTGCTGTGCTTCTCCCTAGGATGAAAATAAGGATGGAGGTACAAAGAACCAACCCTTTAACAGAGGGAACTTGAGGAAAAATCAAAATCCTTGGAGATCCTAGATGGAACCTGTTAGTAAATCCCTTATCAGTTAATTTTGGGATGAATGTTGGCGTTAATTAATTTGCTTGGCACAAATCTGTTCGGAGGCATTTGGTTCAGAGGAGGATCCAGGGAAAAATCCAGACAGCTGGGAGGATCCCAGGAATGGGAGTGGTACAAAGTGTCATGGTAGGTCCCATCAACACAGAGATGGAAAAGAATCTGGGGTTTCCAGTGGAGATTAAAATGGAGCCGCTGACACGGAGGAGGTCTGGAGAAAGGTAGACATGGTTTGGGGTGCACTGGGTGAGATCTGCAGGAGAAAGACAGGTGAAATTGTAGGAATTGTGGTCAGATCTCGACTGGGATTGCATTAATTTTGGCTCCTTGGGCTCAAGGAGGTTGAATGGAAGTGGAAGTTGGTGGTTGAGAAGGTTTACTGGGCCAGGGAAGGGGAGGAATGTCATGAGGAGCTCATCTGCTGTGGCAGGGAAGGCTTAGAGCTGCTGCCTGGGAATCCTTGGAGCAAAGAGCATGGGAGGGGCAAAAGGAGATCTGCCTACACGGATGGTCTGTGTGATCCTGGAGCAAGTGAGAAAAAGGGATGGTGATTGGAATTAGGGATGGTGATTGGAATCAGGATTTGTTCCTAACCACTGAAGGAACTGGCACAGTCTTTCCACTGAGCCCTTGGTGTGTTTGCATAAGGAGTGGTGGAGCAGCTGGAGAGCTTTATTCCAGAGTATCCATTGGAGTTGTGTGTTTTCAGGGAGATCCAGGTTTTCTTCTGCCTTTCCTAGGGTTGTTGTGGCCCAGTGACAGCACGATTTTGAGTCTGCGACACCACGTGCAAATAGTTGTGGAAATTACTTGCTCAGGAAGAGAATGCATGAAAAGAAAACAGGATGGGGAAGGAGGAATACTTTCCATAGTTATTCAGAAGGTGTGAGTAATTCCAGATGAAAAAAGTCAAGTTCCTGACATGGATATTCATCCTTAAAGACCAGCCCTCCATTACAAATACCTCTGGTATTTCCATAAGCATTTAGCTGGCCGTGAGTGCCAGGATTCAAGGTGCATCATTTGTCTTCAAAACATTTCCTTGCAAACCTTGCAAAGCCCCCAGCTGTGTCTGTTCTCCCCAAATGGAGCATGTCCTGCACTGGTCCTGCTGCCTGGAAGAGCAGTTGGAAGTTGAAGCAGTCGGAAACCTTTTGTGGAGTTAATATTTATCCACGACTCTTAATAAACAAATACGGCCTGTCATGGGACTGCACTGAATCTACATGCTAAAATTTTCTAAATATACAGTTTTATATATCTATATTTAAATATAATATATAGATTTCTGAGTGTAATCCTCAAGGCAAACACAATAACTTGGTTGAGTTAAATCCCTTGAGCTAACGCTGAAGAACAGCGGCAAAGCCTCGTGGATGCTGCGATGCCAGAACTCACCACTTCCTCCCAAATTCAGTGTCCTGGAATTTAAGATCTAAAATATGTGACCTGCATCGAGAAACATATGAAACAGCAGGAAAATTATTATCTTTTAATTGTAAGTCAGGTCTTGTTGGTGGGTAGTGCTGTGAGGGAGCTGGGGAATGACTGACTGGGTTTGACTGGGGGATGTGTGTGCAGGTGATGGAGCTGGTTCATTGTCTGATTTAATGAGTTCTTTGCAGCTGCTGCAGCTGGAGAAAGATGTGAAAGATCCAGGGAAGAGGCTGAGCTGCCTAACAACAATTCTTTCCAATATGGTCCTCCTCCCCAGGTTGAGGAGCTTTTTATAAGCCTTTAAAGCAAACCAGTATCTTTTCCCTTAAGGGAATAGGAAGTAGAAAGAAAGTGGTCTTTTCTCTCCCCCCCAACCAATTTTGCATCCTCTTTTCCACAAGGCACCTAATCTTTGGAAGCATTGTAAACCTGAAATTGTATTTTTTAGGAGGTTGTTAAAATACCTCAGGTTGACTGGAGACAAAAGATACTCAAATGGCTGGTGATTAGAATATTAGGAAAAATGGAAGGCTTGAACTGGAAAGAGAATTGAAGCTGGGGCCCTCAAACCTGTGCTTTAGGATGGACTACAAAGTAGGATGTTCTTGCTCTAGTTTTCCTGTCCTGGAGTCATAATGCAAAGCAATCACTGGGGGAGAATCATGAATTACTTGAAATGCAGCTGAAGAATTGAAGGTACTTGAATTTCAGGACTGTGCAATTCAAGTGAGATGGAGGTGATGGAGTTGTCCAATACCCACCTCTGTGGTGTGTTAATGAAGAGTTTGTTAAAAGTAGTGGGTGTGCAAGGTTGGAAATACTAAAAGCAACATTTAACTCCCAAATAGAATGGAAAAATGACTTACAGAGAAGGGAGTGAAATTTTCATTCTCTCTTGTGTCGTGCAGGTACTTTGATGGCAACTTGGAGAAGCTCTTTGCAGAGTGTCATGTAATTAATCCAAGTAAAAAATCTCGGACACGCCAGATGAACACGAGGTCATCAGCCCAGGATATGTCCTGTCAGATCTGCTATCTGAACTACCCAAACTCGGTGAGTACCTGACCAGCAACTCCCCAAATTTCCCATCTGAAGCTTAACTTTATTCTGCAGAAAGCCTGTGAAGGTGCTGGGGCCTGGGCAGCCGTGTAGGAAAGCTCAGAAAAAAAGCAAGCAGGTGATTTTTGGCAAGTTCAGGTACCAGCTGAGATGTGCAAATAAATGGTACATGAAAGAAAAAATATGTGGAAAGCACGATGGGCAAAGGGATTTACTTAAATAGAGTGACGGCAGAAAAGAGCTTTTAAAAGTGGTAAATAATGATATAAAATAGTCAGACTGGAAAGTCTGGAGTAAAACTGAGCAGAAGTAAAATGTGGCTGTCTGGATCTTCTTCTGTTTGTACAACACCCTCTCAGTGGGAGGAGATGGGGGTGGCAGTGCCTGCTGGGGCTCTGGGTCAGCCTCCTGCTTTGTGTTAGGTGGGTGATGGTGGGGCTTCTTTTTGTGGCTGTTGACAAAATGGAAGCATTCCCATACTTTAATAACACATCCAGGCTCTGCTGTGATTTCCCAGGGGCAGAACATACTGGTGGGAGATCCCAGGAGAAAAGGAGATGAGTGGAAGGGCTCAAATGGGAAGGTTCATCCGTGGCTTTGCCAAAAGGCAGGATGACACAGTGAGGAATTGTTCCTTGGTTGGAACCTGCCATTGCTGGGGGAGCTGTCCTGCCCCTCCAAAACACCCTAAAGCACGTGCCTGACCTTTCCAGACAAAAGGCTTCACTCTGCTCTGGGTGGGATGGGAACCACAATGAGTTTGGGGCTCATGAGCAGCCTGGGGTGAAGCCCCCTGGTTGTTCTGGATCAGGCAGAGCTGAGCAAAGCCCAATTTCAGGCCTCACGGTCTCAGCCTTAAAGGTCACTGTTGGTCTTGAGTCAGGAACCACAAGGCTTCATGTGTCTCCTCTTAAGCCTTGTGTGCCCTGACCTGCCTTTTGGAGAGTAGCTGGAAAGGTGAGTTGTTGCTTGCCTTGTATAAAAAGATGCTTTGAAAACAAAGACAAGCTTGAGAAATTTGTTTGTCCCTCTACCTTATGCTAAAATCCTGCTTAAACACTGCAGGCTTTCCATGTTAAGTAATAAGGAAATAAATGTGATTTTAGGCTATGCAACATTTTAAATGAAAATTGGTGGAGGACTGAGGGAGAAAAATGGGAGAAGACATCAAATGGGCCCTGTGGAAACTTCAAATTTAGATGTCATGTTCTTAATATATTATTCTCCCCTTTTAAATGTAGTTGCTGTGCTGGCTGGAGGTACAACTCGCAGCTGACAGGCCTTTCCTCTTGCTGGGGGTACATGTACTGCCTGGGAAGCAGCTCTCTGGCTCCTGACAGCAACTACACAAAGCACACTAATACTTTTGAACTTGCAGCTCAAATAAAATGTTAAAAATAGTAGTGGCCCAGTTGCCAGAAGAGCAGATTTTTAGCTGGACCAGTGAGAAGTGGCAGGTGAGCAGGGTTGTCTCTGATGTTGGTGTTAAGACACATCAGAGGGGAACCTCTGTTTCTTTGCCACACATAAAAGTTGGAGCCTGTAGGAAAAGGCTGTAGTGTCTGTCTAAAAGGTGACTGAAATCTGTTTTGAAGCTGTTTTAGTTGATGTGAATTACGAATTCTAGGATTATGTTTATGTTCAGTGCCTAACCTAAAATCTTGACTTTGAAAATCCTCTTGCAATGCTAATTTTTTTTTCCACATAAAATCTGTAATTTTTTTTTCCTGAGTTCCCCTCTCAGCCTATGGAAAGCTGAGAGTTTGGAGCTGTTAAGAAGTTTTGCAGTGTACAGTCATTGCAGGAAAGTCAGAGTCTTGAATATTCCCCCTCTCGTGGGGTCACTGCAGGTGGTATTTGTCTACAGGGTGTCTGTAGCTCCAGTCATCTCCAAAGAACTGTGGGCTGAGGTTTTGGGAAGCAAAACGAGGCATTGGATGCTCTCATCCTGCAAGTTTGAAAACTTCAGGGAGATATTTTACCCACTCTGTGTCCCCAACAAGCAGTGCTGAGTCCCAGCAGTTGTTTTGGATGAAACCCTTACTGGTCAGACAGGAATGAGAGGGTCATGGCTTTGCCTCTCTCCTCTCTTGCATTCCCACCCTCAGGTTCCTTGGAGGGCCAGGCTGCAGGGTGGGGATGTTTTTGGGAACACCCTGCTGTTGTCCAGCCTGTGGGTGATGAGCACACATGGGGTGACACCAGGGCTGCCTCAGGAGCCACTGCTCCCCTTGCACTCGGGGTTTTCTGTCACCCCTTTTGCTTGGCTCCCTTGACATCTGCTGTCAGCTGAGCCAAAAATAATTGGGAACTCCCTCAAAGTAAAGAAAAGAGTCAAGAGATACTCTGAATTCCTTGCAGCCTGGGAGGAAGTGTGGTGGCTGCCTTTCTGTGGGCATTTAGCAAACCTTTTCCCTGCCTGAAGTAATCAGAACAAGCCTTAAATGAAGATGTTTTGTGTTCTGTAGTGGTTCCTCGTGTGTGCCTGCTGCAGGAGTGCTGGGTTCATTAAGGGGTGATCCCCTTGTCTGTGCTTGCTTCTCATCACATGTGGAGAAGCCTCAATTCTGGGAAAAGTCAGTGCTGTCTTTGGGATGGTTGCATGCTGTGGCATCCCAAAAGTTACAGCTGTTGGTACTTGTCAGTGATAATCCTGCAGCTCCAGGGGATGTCACTTGGGCACAGCAGCACCTGTGGAGCATCAGAGCCCTCGTTAGCTGGCTCAGGGAAGGTTCAGGAATTGGAAGGTCTCTTTTTTCAGCCTGGTGTACCTGGCACCACGCAGGTGTTGGCCTCCTCTCTGATTTTTTTTGTTGGTTTTGTTGTGGTTTGTCTGTGTTTCAGGTGCTCAGCTCACTTCAGTGGCTGCTCAGGTCAGACTGATCTGTGTTGCTGCTCACAGGTTCCAGCCTGTGCTGGTGGCAGGAGCCAGACCAGTGTGAATCACAGCCTGGGAGCCCGTGGGAAGGAGGTGCTGACAGGCACCTTCCCTCAGCAAAACCCAGCTGATACACCCGTGTGGGAGGGACAAAATAAATCTGTGATGGTCAAGGAGGCGGGTTGGGAAGAATATTTTCTTAAAATGGACTCCCCTTTCCTCAGTTACCACCATCCTGCTGCTGTTTTGGGCTGTTCTGCAGAGGATTCCGGGTCCTTCCCTCTGTGGAGTTTCATGCAGGTTGATGGTATCTCAGGGTGGAGTTCTGGTTTTATCTCACTGGCTGAGAAGATGATGGTTTGAAAAGCTAAGCCAGCAAATATTACCTTATAGTGGTACAAGTGAAGCGTTTTAAATACAGTTTTCCTTGCCCCTGGCTCTGGGTATAAAATAACTTCAAGCTGACCAGAGCAAAGTACCTTAATTCCAGTGTTTCCTCAGCAGTGTTTGCTTCTCCACCCCTTGTGTAACCACTCAGTCCCAGATGGAATCTTGATACACACTGTGCAGATGATGCAGACAAGGATGGAGTTGTCCTTGTTGCTGTCTGTGACAGCTGATCATTATTGAATTTTATTTAGCAGTTTACACCTGCCAATTAGGATCCGTAGTGTCTTCATCTGATGAGCATCTGGATTTCAGGGGGAAGTTTCCTAAGGAGGTCTGGGATTTTGGGCAGCACCCACATGTGTCAAGTGGAAAAAAAAAGAGGAATGAAGACTGTATAATAATCCTATCACTGTGACCTGTTTAGTGTTGCATTTATTTGACTGATTTCCAGAGTCAAACAGGAGAGAGCTCTGTGTACACTCCTAAAAAACAAGGATAAATTGAAATAGGCAAGCAGGATGGAAACATGGGCCACACCTTTCCTTACTGCTGGGGTTGGGGATTAGAGCCTGGCTTTGGAAGCATGACTAAAGCTGCCTGGGCAATGTTCTGTAGTGGTGATGATGCAAAATAAATAGTGTCTCAAGTTTGGTGTGGGGGTGAGAGATGTGATGAGTGAACTGCACAGTACTAAGGAGATTGAAATTATGGAGTGAATCCATGTGATAAAATGATCCAATGCCTGGTGTTCTCTGTCATTGCAGTACTTTACTGGCCTAGAGTGTGGACACAAGTTCTGTATGCAGTGCTGGAGTGAATATTTAACTACCAAAATAATGGAGGAAGGCATGGGACAGGTAAAATGTCAACTTACCTCGTGGTTTATTTCTGGAAATTCTGGGTGTTGGGGAGGAGGAGGAAAGAAAAGGGAGAGTCTTCCCTAGTAAAGTTTAAAAAATCCAGAAGAGCAACCCAGAGAAAACCCAGCCCCCAAAGGTTTGGGGGCCGTAGCCTCTGCCACAGGTGGATCTGGAGGGAACTCCATGGGGTTGGTGCAGGGGGGGGAGGAATCTTGCACAGGGCCACACCTGGGATGTGCTGGGAGAGCTAAAGCACTCTGATTGCTATGGATTGTGGTGAAGTCTGTTGCCTTGGAATTCTCTATGAAGCAAAAATAGGATAAACACTGTTCCTCCCATGCCCTTTTTGTGTTTTTCAGACCATTTCATGCCCTGCCCATGGCTGTGATATCTTAGTGGATGACAATACAGTTATGTGAGTACGCTCAGTTCCTACCTCTTGGCTTTCCTCTCTTTGCATTTTGTTACTCATGTGCTGTTAAGATGTATTCAAATGCTAGTAACAGATTGCACCCAGGCTTTCAGACAGCAGAGAGGTCTGTCTTGGATGGTCTGTTTTGATATTGGGATGTCTCTTGACTTTCTGTGTGGCTCTGAAACACCTATGTGGCAGCACTGGGAGAGGAAAGACTCCCTGACCAGTTTGGTCATGAGAGCAGAATTTCCAAACCCAGTTTAACTGCTTTGTGCATTTTGTTTCCTTTGATTCATGTAGGAATTTGGGCCTTCCTTCCCAGGCCAACCCACTGATTCCCCAAGTCCTGTAGGTGATGGGTGAGTCAGAGGACATGAGTTGTACAGGCAGGTGTAGGGTGTGTTTTATGCCCCTGATAGGAAGCAAGGTACCCTCAAACACCAGATTTGGTTAAGCTGGTGTGTGAGCCTGTGTCACTGGAGTTATTAAGTTATCCAGCTGTAGGATGACTGCTCACATGTGGTGGAGCAGTGAATTCCATGAGCTTCCTTCTCTTTTATATTGGAGGAGGTTATTGGATGAGTAATATCCTTCGTAATTCTGAACCTTCATTAAGTTCATTTTAATTCTTCTTGCTAAAAAACATCTCAATGGGGGTTATTCTGTTAACTTATTCTTTCCTTCCTGAAGCCTGACTCACTCATTGATATTAATTTGCTGGGGTTTATTATCAGTTGCTTTCAGAGTAGTGATTTTTCCCAATCCCTCTGCAGTAGTGGCTCTCAGTTAGTCATGGAGTGTAGGCTGGATGGAAGTGGAAGGAGCTGAAGTGCTTTCCTGCCCTGTTGAGGGGCTGGTTTGTAGAGTTCAGTGTGTGGAAACTGAGCTGAAGTTGGCATATCTTGAGTAACTCGACTGAGATTTTTGTTTACCAGAGTTTGAACTTCAACTTGAGGTGTTGAACACTCTCAGCAGGAAGCTTTTTGAGTATTTTCTTGATTGCAACAGTTGGAATGAGCTGTTCAAATAGTGCATATGAAGCAGAGTGGCTGAAATCACTGGAGGCCGTGGTGGCAGGAGCAAGGAAAGGATGGGAAAAGAGGAGAGCAGTGCCATGGGATTGCCCCTTGCCTGGAGGTGGCAGAGACAGGAGGCCTGGAACAGGGAAATGGCTCTGGGTGCTGAAGCAACCAAAGTCTCTTTGTCTAAGTAACACTATAAACATTTTCTAGAGGTAACAATCCACCTTTCCCTGATCTTACCTGGATTTCAGGGGGAGGAAGGTGTGTTTTTTTGCTGAAGTCTCATGCTTCCTTTAAAAACCAAGGTGGACAACTGGCAGTCTTAGGAAATAGCATGAATAAAAATGTCAGGAATCCCAATTGGAATCAGCATCCATTTCTGTGTCCTTAGTTATTCTTTTTAGGTTTTTTCCTTCTTACAAAGTCTCCAGCTTTCCAAGCTACAGAAACCTAGGTTAACATGCCATGTGTAGGGACATCAGTCTTCATCCATCAGTTGTTCCTTTGCTCCCTTCTCAGGACTTGCCCTCACCTCCAAGTTGGATTATCTCCATATGAGTCCAAACTTGGCAATTCAGGTGACTTTCCTGGATTTGTGAGTATTTGGCCAGCTCAGAATCCTCTGTCCTTGTTGAACTAGAGTGGGAAGGTTGAAGGGAGGGTCTCTTCCAGGACCTCCAGCCTGGCTGGGGGTGATCCGTGGCTATCCCTCACTCACCTTTGCTTGTGCCACTAGGAATTGCTTTCACCCCCTTGCCAAGTTGTTAACTGCATTAATGAGCAAGGTAGGCTGCCCTCATTTCTGCCCTGGTTGACTCTGCAATCAGCCCACTCAGTGGGAATGGATGGATTTTGGGTTCCTGTTTGGAAGTCATAGGGAGTTCTGCCTCACTTCTAATTTATGGTCTGATAAAGGATTGTTCCCATCTTTGGATGAGGTTTTGAGTTTGTGTAGTTCCAAACTAAACTCAAAGTTAAAGGCTGCTTTTTCAAGAGTTTGTTGTTCCCACCTGGCTTTTTTGGTGAAGTTGCTTCTTTTTGAGCTTTGCTCACAGAGGAATGTACCCCAAAATATGATTTCTGGGCACTGGGCAGGGATTTCATCTTTTAATTTGTCTAGTTTCCTTTATGATTTGGCAAAAGACAGTCATATTCCAAGCAAAGTTCTTGAAAGTCTTGACCTGAGTGGTGCTGTAGGACCTGGAGCAGGTGAGGTTGTTGACGTGGGGCAGTCAAAGCATTTTGATAAGCAAAAAACCAATGGATTGTGTGCTCCTTGTGCTCTGCTTAGTCATGGCAGGACTATTCATTTAAATTCCAGTTCCTGATATATTCTGATAACATAATAAATTTTTGAAGTGACATTTACTATGTCTACAAGCCCAAGTATGGGGTAAAAAAGTGAAATTTATAATTTGTATGGAATTAAAATTTGAGTTTTTCTATTTTTCACTAAGTTGAACTCCAGAATTGCGGGCTTGCCATGGACACAGGGCTGAAGAGATGCTTTGTCAGCTGATTTGTTTTATTTTAGCCCTGGGAACTGAGCTGCCACGTGCTGTGTTTTATGTAATAACCAGCGTGTGGTTTGGTGAGGAGCTCCCCAGGCTGCCCAGGGCTGGGATTTATGCAACACTGGCAGGATAACATGCAGGAGTACCCTTGGGTTGGGCTGCACCTGGAATGGATAACCCAGTAATTCCAATGTTTATGGCCTGTAGAAGGCTTGTGTTCCACAGGAGGATTTAAACCAGAAACACCACAAAGGGCGTGTTAGTCCTACTTTGTATTCAGATATGGGGGAAGACACTTCAGTTGTATCTAAAAGACATTTATAAAGGTGCTCAGCTATCCATAATTAAAGTATTTGGGATGTATTTAGACTGGGCAGTCTGCAAATGCCACCTGGGTTGGTGTGCCCAGAAGACAAGTGGTCTTAAAGGGTTCCCATCAGCCTGCTTTTCCTCTCCCCTTCCAATTGGGAATTAAAGTCCATGTCTGGACTTACAGTCCACATTGTGTATACCCTCAGTGGTGTCGAATTCAAATCAACTTTGTTTTTATGGTAAATAGATTAAAACACCAATAAATTTTTCACCTGAAGCCGTGGCATTCCAGTGAGACCCAGATAACTTGAGGTTTCCCAAAGTTATGAACCACACAGCGGTTGTTCCGGAGCTGTTTAAAGGGATTTACCACAAAATGTGCATGTTTTATGTAAATGAACTGTTTACATGATTTGCTTTGTTTCTTGGGCTCTTCAGGAAAGTATTTTAAAATAAAAATCCTCACAGCAAGTGGTTCAGTTCTTTTGAAATGCATGAGCTTTCTGTTTTTGAAGCTTATATATATATATATATATATATATATATTAAATACAGTGCGTGTAGTTTTCATAATAATAAGTGATCTAACAAGTGAGTAGAGATCAGTAAGTACAAAAGGTAACTGCAAATGTAGAAGGATGAATCAAACCCATTTCTCTGTCTTAACTTATTGGATATGTATGGAAAAAATGAGTTTTCTACTACAATTTTTCTGTTTTTTCTGTTCCCACAGGCGTCTGATCACAGATTCCAAGGTTAAATTAAAGTACCAGCATCTAATAACCAATAGTTTTGTAGAGGTGAGTTTTTATTTGAAATTTTTAATGATTTCTTGGGTGGTTCTGTCTTGCATATGTACCAAACCAGAGACTTGAGGCTATTTTATAACGGCAGAGCAGGTTTTTTTGCATAATCTCTAATCAAGTGTGACTACAGAGATTGTTTTGTAGCCCTTTAGGTTACAGGGATAGTTGTAGGAAAAGATTAAAAAACCTTTATGACAAAAGACCTAGAGATGAAGAGAATGCAAGAGCTGTTGTTTAATATACAGGTTCTGAGGAGCACTTAATATTTACAGTTCTTCAGTGTTCCCTGGGATACTTGAGGCTGAAAACCAGGAAACACGGCCCTGAAAGGGAACACACCTTAAACATTTGCCATTAGAAGTAAAGCTGCAAAACTGTTTTTGGCAAAAGCAAAAATAAAACTTGGAGAAAGCAAAATAAACGTGGAGAAAGGTGCTTTGGAAAGCTTTTCATTATCCCAGCTGTGTGTGTTCAGATTCACTGTTGGGTGCAGGATAAGAAGTTAGTGGGCTCAAGTTTGAAGCCCTTTGTTTGAAGTGATGTTTGTGGTGGGTTTGGGTTTCATCTTTTCAAATGGTTGAAGCCATGGCAAAGGGGTGCAGGGCAGGAGGTGTCCTTGTGCACATCCCTGTGCCATCCTGTGGGTTCTGTGCTCTGTTCTGCAGTGTAATCGACTGTTAAAGTGGTGTCCTGCCCCCGACTGCCACCACGTCGTCAAAGTCCAATATCCTGACGCCAAACCCGTGCGCTGCAAATGTGGGCGTCAGTTCTGGTAAGAACAGCCAGGAAAAGACCTTGGTGCTGCTCTTTACTTACTGCCTTGAAAGTGTGATGGTGTGTATTCATGGAATGCCAGACTGGTTTGGGTTGGAAAGGGACCTGAAAGGTGATCCAATCCCACCCTGTGCCCCGAGCAGGGACACCTTCCACTAGACCAGATTGCTCCAAGCCCTGTCCATCCTGACCTTGGACACTTGCAGGGATGGGGCAGCCACAGCTTCTCTGGGCAGCCTGTGCCAGGGCCTCACCACCCTCACAGGGAAGGATTTCTCCCCAGTATCCCATCTAACCCTGCTTTCTGTCAGTTTGAAGCTATTCCCCCCCCTTTGTCCTATGCTGTTTTGAGGGATTTCATGCTGGAGGGCAGTGTAGGCTTAGATGTTTCCTTAGGACTGGCTCTGGTCTCTCATTAGAACAACTCAGAAGAAAACTTCCCCTGTTTAATTAAAAGTACAATTATCTGCCCTGTTTGCTTACTTTTCCCCTTTCTTTCCCTCGCAGCTTTAACTGCGGTGAAAACTGGCATGATCCTGTTAAATGCAAGGTGAGCACATCAAAGTTCTTTTCTAAATGTATGACTTGGAAGTTTAAAGTCAGTTTGTGTACAGGACTTAGAAATGAAACCCAAGCTTGGCCTATCATAGAATATCCTGAGTTGGAAGGGACCCACAAGGATCCTTGAGTCCAACTCTTGTTCCCATCAGGAAGCAGAGTAGCTCAGCTGTTAGGACCACAGGGGGCAAAGAACCAGTTAAATGATACTGGGGGCCTTTCCTGTCATGCTGAGAGCCTCAGAGTTGGACCTTGTGAAGGAAAGGTGCCTCAGCCAGGTGGGAAATGTGTGGAGGAGGAGGAGGCTGTTCCACCTGTGACCCTCTGCAGAGGGAGGAATATGCTTTTTGGACAAGGAGCATTCCTGTACGAGGTGTTTCTGTCGGTGTTTGCTGCTTTGTCAGGCGTGTGATCTGTTGTACCGAAGGAATTAGTTTGGTCCTGGACCTGCTGCAGTGCCCTGAGCTGTAGAACTGTTTGTGGAGCTGTCAGAAACTGTAACCAAGCCTGGGATGCTGTGGCCTGTGCAGAGCTCAGGGACAGACATGTTCCATGCCTTGGGGACAGAGCACTTTGCCTTCCTAGGGACACAAAACCTGCCCTGGGAGAGGGGAGGGGAACCCCAGCAAAGGTTCAGCGGGATTTAGTTGGTCTTTCCAGGCTGGATGTGGTCAGGTTGTTATCTAGCAGATGCAAGCAGTGTTTTGCTTTTGTGACTTTGATAAAGCCATGTTCTCACTAAGGTTTAAAAAAGAAATGAGCATGAGGCGAGCATTGCAAGCCTGAGATAAAACCTGGCTGATGTGAAGCTCGGCATCACAGAGGGTCTGACAGCAGTTTTGGCACATCACTGCTAAGAGACTGGTTTGGCTTGGAAAGGACCTGAAAGGTGATCCAATCCCACTCCTCTGCCATAGGCAGGGACAGCTTCCACTGGGTATTCCAAGCCCCATCCAACCTGGCTTTGGATGCTTCCAGGGATGGGGCAGCCACAGCTTCTCTGGGCAACCTGTGTCAGGGCCTTACCACCCTCACAGGGAAGAATTCCTTCCCAATATCCCATCTAACCCTGCCCTCTGTCACTTTGAATCCATTCCCCCTTGTCCTGTCACTCCAGGCCCTTCAGAATAGTCTCTCTCCATCTTTCTTGTCACCTCCCTTCAGGTTCTGGAAGGTCAAAATTAGGTCACCTTGGAACCAAAATGTCCTTACTATTTCAGAGTCCACCATGAAGTTTGTGTTGATTCAACTGGAGAACAGAAATGAGTTTGCAGAAGTGTTTGTGAGGGTGCTCGTGCTTGCTGGATCAGGACGGTGCTGCAGGAACTGTCTGCACCTAAATTAGCTGCTGTTTGCACAGTTTCCCAGCACTTACCCCCCCTATTCCCATGTGGTTGTGTGTACCTTTCCTTAATGCAAGCAGGTGCCTTGGGAACATTTCCAGTTCCTCTATTTAGACTTAACTCTGTTCTTTCACCATTTTTCTGACAGTGGTTAAAGAAGTGGATTAAGAAGTGCGATGATGACAGTGAAACTTCTAATTGGATTGCAGCCAACACAAAGGTGAGGGGGTTTCTCATGTTTTATATATAGATTTTTATATAGATATATCAAGCAAATTCCTCTGCACTAGGATTTTTTTTTCTCTTCCATGCTAAGAGCAAGCCTTAAAATGTACAGTACACTGAAATGCTCTTGTTTGAAGAGCAAACAGGTGAGTTCCTTCAGGTTCAGTGGCGTTTGCTCTCGGAAGAAAGAGTTAATTGGAGAGCCAAAGCTTGAGATTTAGGTGTTTGGGCTCCTGTCTGGCACCAGTGGCTTCCCTAAGCAAGCCTGTGCCTTGCTCCATGTGTGCAACATGTTCCCACCACCCGTGCTGGGTTTGCTGGGATCACTTACATCTGCCTCTGAATCCCAGGGGTTGACCTGGAGTGGTTCATTTCCTCTGGGCAGCATTCCAGGTCTGGACTGGCAGAACAGCTGGTTGAGATTTTATTATGTAAATGTCTTCATCCTAGTTAGCCCAACTTTTGCCTGAAACTTCAGGGTTTGATAATTTTGGGATGAATAAAAGCCAGGGTTGGTGTGGTGGCAAGGAAACAAAAGCAGCAGATGCCCTGGGGGGTGAGGATCAAGCCCGGGGCTCCTGGCTGGAGCCTGAGGGTGGAGGAAGGTGGGGAGGGAGTGAGGAAATGGCTGCTTTGTTTTCTTAGCTCTGTTGTGTAACTGGTTAATGGCATTGTTTGCAGCAGCCTTGCTGCTTTCTGGGGCTGCCTGCCTGGTTTTCATTGAACTGGAATGTTGCATTATGGTGAAAGAGAAACACCCATCCTGCAGTTAGAATCAGGCTGGAATTGGGCAGTGTCCCGTGGGCTGAGGGCTGTGTGTCCCTGCTTGGAGCCTGCACATTGACAACAAAGGGGATTTGCCTTTGTTTGAGTGTATCCTATCATGGCTCGAGAACTGAACTAGATTTGATCAGAGTTTGTTGGTCTTCAGGTCCTGTTCCTATTAAACCTGAGGAAGAGCAGCCAATAGCTTGGAAGAGGCTGAGTGTAAGCACTGCTAGCCTTGGGTATCAAATATTTGGGACATTGGTACAGTCACAGCCATATTTTGCCTGTCAAAGCCCTCAGGATCTGTTGCTGCCCCTCAGGGGGAGGATCTTGGGGTTTCCCATCCTGTACCTGACCCTGCCTTGGGAATAATAAGATTTTTTGGGAGGGCAACACCCATCAGGAGGGTGGCATCTGGCACCAGCCCAGCTTCTCCTTTAGTTCCTGGAGTCTGGTGTGAGCAGCAGAGCTGTTGTCCTTGAACAGCACTGTCCAAGCTACTTCCTCTAATATCTTCCAAGACACTCCTATGTGGAAATACTTTGGAGTGCAGGCTGCAACAGGGAGGAAAAGCCAACTGTCCTGGAGTCTTGTGGTATCCATATCCATTGAATTAGCTGAAGGACAATGTGACAGTTCTTCTCTCTGAACTGACGCTGGATTTGGTTGAGGGGAAAGTTGGCAGGGAGAGTAACCCACCCCTCGTGCTGATCTCTGCCTTCTGTGGGCAGCAGGGTGGGGAAGGTGGGAATCTCCCCCTCTGGCTGCTGGGACATGTGCCATGGGGGCTTCAGAGCCCCTGGAGAACTGGATGGGCCCAGAGTCCCCCAGCCAGCACCTCCTCCCGCCGCAGTTCCTGCCGGGCCTTGGCCAGAGCAACGGAGAAACCCAAGGGCGTGTCTGAGAGGAGCACAGTTCCTCCTGGAACCAAGGAAAAGCCTGTCCTGCTGTAGCATGAGTGATAGGCTGGGATGGGAATTGCACAGTCGGAGCACGCATCCATCCGTCCTTTCTCTCTCTCTGTACTTTTCCTAGCAGGAAAACAGGGCAGTCATGCTCGTCGAGGCAGGTCTTGTGCCTGCACAGCTGTTGGCTTCAGGGACTGAGAGTCAGAGCCCAAAGTCTGCGTTGAATTTCTTCATTTTGAAGAACGTAGAAAGGAATCAGGTACCATCAGATGCAAAAAATCCCCATTTTCAGTGGGAAAAACTCTCCAAGCGTTTCAGTTGTGACTACGGGCTCCATTGCTGTTTCTTGCTTTTGGAAAGGGCTTTCTGGAGCCATCCAGGCATGAGGCTGAGCTGCAGCCCTGTCCCATGTGGGCTCCAGTCAGGAAAGGACACTTCCTGTTGTACCAAGATGAAGGTGTAAGAGACAAATACCAATCCTCTGGAATGTGGGCTTGAAATCTGGCTAATCCTCTGCAACCGGAGCATGTGAGATACATTTGTTCCGTCTTGTCCTGGGGGACAGAATGGGAAAGGAAAATTAGGCAATTGTTGTGTTAGAGAATAGAAAAGTGAAACCCAGCTGAATTGGGTTCTGTTCCCAAACTGGAATGATGTGATGCATTTTTGGATGAATTATGTAGAATGGTCTGAATGAAAAACGAGGAGATTTGAGTAGCGAGTTCTGTGGTTTCCGATATAATTTTTTTATCCTTTTGCATTCATTTACTTGCACTTAGGAGACCTAAATTCCTTCTACTTCTACAAAAGATACAGTCCTTGAAGCAGTGTGCTGGAGTAGATGGCTTTTTTCTTAAACTAAGCTACTTTCACATGAGTTCAGCTTAACTAAATTAATTTAAAGTTGAGATAAGGCAATACAAGTTCTTTATCAAGCCTGTAGTTCTCAGTCTTCTTGAAGAACAGGGTTGAATAATCCAAGGATTTGCACATTTCTTTCTTTTCCAGTTTGTTGGACAAAGTTGGTTCTTCAGGAGTTCCTTTCTTGAGTTAAACTGGCAGGTTTCAGATATTTGGGAATAAAGAAACCACAGAGATCCATTACTTCTGTTAAGTGGACATTCAGAGGAGTGCAAACTATAGAAAACTTGGATTTGTGCATTTCTTTTGGGCTCTGAAGGTGTATCAAGACTGGCTGAAAGTAGCCTAAAAGGAGGAGGGGAAACTGGTTTTAAACCCGACTGTCAGCGATGTTAATCTCCTAAAGGAAGAAGAACAAAGACTAACGGTGCAGATCTTCACCCAAGGCACTGGGTTTTATTGTTCAAGTTAAATTGGTGTTAATGAAAGTTGTTCATCTGATACTAAAAATGCCCCAACCTTGCTGCTCCTGGCTCCTGGCACATCCCATCGTCACCTTCCGGGCTAGACAGGGCTTGAATGGCTGATGTACAAACCAGGCACATTTTCTTCCTCCAGAGAAACCATTGGCCCTTTTCTCCTCTGAGCGAGATAAAATGGCACAAACCCAGTTCTCTCCCTTTTCAGGTCACTTTTTAATGTCTGAACACACGCTCCCTCTGTATTTTCTGGAAATCCTACACTTGTTCTGAGGCGTGGAAGCTCTGGCAGCACTCACAATCCTCCCCAGCACTGAACTGTGCTCCTTCGCTTCTCACCGTGCTGGGGTGTGAACAGCATCTTTCCAAAGGTGTCCAAGTGCCATCTTTTCCTCTCGGATGAGCTGGTGTTTCAAATATGTTTAAAAAAGCCTGGCTCTGTGACTCTAGGTGTTGTCAGGGTGTACTACTTTGTGCTAACCTTAATTAAGTTCAGCATTTTTGGGTTTTGTTGAAAAGCATTAAGAAATCCTGTGGTGTTAGAGAATTCTTTCTCTTCAGGACGGGTTAGAGGTGATGGTGTTGCTGTGAACGTGGCTGGGAGGCTGATGGCCATCAGTGGGAGTTCTGGAGAGGACTAATCTCTTTCACCTGCCCTGAAATAAGAAATGTATTTCTGTTTAGCCTCCTGTTTATAAAACAGCAGCTGAGGTTTACGGTGTTTTTTTTAGGACAGAATCAGGATTGTTCTCCTTTGCCAGGTTTGCCCAGACTTTTGTTTCCAAGCACAGCATGAAATTGTTTGGGTGGAACAATGTAAATGAGGTCACTTCTGTGTCCTGGTATGACTGATAATGTGCAGAATACTCTGCAGGTTTAGTAACTTGATTTGCTGGCTGTTATGTTGTTGTGTAGCCGTAATTCTCAAGAAAATCTTCCTTCTCTATCCTCCTTAATCTATAAATCTCTCCCACTTGTTGTGAACTGGTGTTGAGCATTTCTTTAGTATGTGCATTTCATGGCTTTAATTTTTAATCATGTTCAACTTCTACACTTTTACACAGCTTTGTGGGTCTGTACTGTGTCACCTCTCTTGCTTGTGCTTTGCTTGACAGGAGCTTGGAAAGGATGGCATTCCCTGTGAGAAAAGGGCTATAATTAGATCACAGAATCATGGAGTGGTTTGGGTTGGAAGGGAACTTGAAGCCCATCTTGTTCCACCCCCTGCCATGGGCAGGGACACCTTCCACCAGCCCAAGTTGCTCCAAGCCCTGTCCAACCTGACCTTCAACACTCCCAGGGATGGGGCAGCCACAGCTGCTCTGGGCAACCTGTGCCAGGGCCTCCCCACCCTCACAGGAAGAATTCCTTCCCAATATCCTATCTAACCCTGCCCTCTGGCAGTGGGAAACCATTCCCCCTTGATCTGTCCCTCCAGGCCCTTGTCCCAAGTCCCTCTCCAGCTCTTGGAGCTCCTTTAGGCACTGGAAGGGTCTTTTTGTCCTAGTTTGCATCCCAGAGCTTGAAGCCCTGAGC